TTGCCCCGAGTTTTTTTTTCCCTTTTTTTTTTTTTGGGCTTTTTTTTTTTTTTTTTTTTTTTTTTTTTTTTTTTTTGAAGTGCCTTCTTGACAGAAAAAATGCTATTAGTGCCATCTGACTTGGAAGAAAATTAAATTTGGCTGGGAATGCCCTACAGATCGGGCCAATTCAGCAGAGCTGATTATAGTGTCTTCAGCTGTTGTTGACACTGGTAAACCTGCGCATACCCACACGAACCACTGAACGGTCCAGTTAAATCTTCTAAACTCAAAGCAGATGGCAGAATGCTTTAAACAGTGCTTGATGGGTACTGTGAAACATTTTAATGATCCTTCTGTAAGTATATGCCTTTTTTCTGTATGTACCTGTGTATCTACTGTGAAATCTGAATGTTGACTGCAACAACATATTTTTGTATTTTTGTACTGACATTTAAAAGAAACATAAAGTTTGTGATTTATCAGCAAGTCTCTTATTTTGGAATGGGAACATCTTGTTTCTGTTTTTATCGTCCTACAATACACAATGGCCGCAAGTATGAAAATGCAGTGTTTTCCACAGTTTGTTATGTTACAACGACAAAGCCACTGTATTTTATTGGAATTTAATATGACAGACCATCACAAAGTACTGCATAGTTATACAGAGGATGGAAAAAGATGCATGTTGCTGTTGCAAATACAGTTTGTAGGTTTACAAATATGGCATGCATATATTAATTATATTATATTATATTATATTATATTATATTATATTATATTATATTATATTATATTATATTATATTATATTATATTATATTATATTATGGATGCACAAATACAAAGATTTTGGGTTGATATCTATATCCGATATTAATATTGCTGTTACGGCCGATAACCGATATTAATCAATATATATTTCAACACTGTTGGAAAAACCTCAATCAGAACCAGATTAAAATAAATATTGGTTGTTCGTATTGGCCCAGTTTTTTTTATCGGACCGATACAAATATGTAAAAAAAAAAATAATAATAATATCAGATGAATCCTATATAATATATTGTGCATTCCTATATTCTATTCTACTCTATTATATTTTATTCTACTCTGTTACTTCAGAGTATGTTTGCCCTAAATAAACTCCACTAAAGTCAATTCCCTCCAAAGTTCAGCTACTGATTGGTAAAGAGAACGCATACATACAGCTGTTCAATGAACTCTTTAGATGATTGCTACAAAAACAAAACAATTAAGATCAAGAAACACATCACACATGTTAGAAATACAGAACATGTCAAACCATCTCAGAGATGA